CCTCGGTGTACCTGAAGTGGGGGCTTGTGGAGTGGGAATGTTCTGGATGGGAACAAGGAGAACTTGTGGGGTGGACATGGAGGTGTTTTTTTTTTTTGCCTGTGTAACAAGTCAGTGTGTAAAGACATGCACTAGCACATCAACAGTCAAGGGTAGCGGTACATACGATTTGGTGAAAAGCCTGATAAATGGTAGCTTCCTGCCCAGGTGATGGTTGTTGTGTGAGCCGAGGGATTTGTAGTCGGGTTTCCACTCACCGTGCCCTGGACATAATCTGCTGCTGGTTTTCCGCCTGAGGGAAGAATATGATTTAAATGCATTAAGGTGGGCCAGAGATAGAGAATTATGCAGAGCTAACGTGTTCACCTGTTTATAATGTTTATAACTCCAACATGCAACAGCCTCCATCCACACTAATCTTCCAAAAGCACACACACACACACACACCCAACTCCTACACTGCTGATCTTGAGCTGGAGGCAAGAGTGAAACTAGATTCTCACCTGAGATAAGGTGAGAACAGGAGCAGTGGGAGGAAGAGGAGGAGGGGGAGGATGGGGGGATGCTTATGTCACTTAAAATGTACTTTTCAAAGATGTAACACTGGAGGAGAGGCTGATGGCACACGCTTGTGTTTTTTTTTTTTTTTTTGAGGACTCGCGCATCTGAAGAAGGCGAGCCCTTTCTTATTTAAAGCACGCTCTCGCAGCAGGCCAGAATCCGTCAGAGTTTTTGAATGTACTCGTGTGTTTTCATAAGGAGCGTCCCAGCATGTACATATGATCAGCACTGTTTCTTCTGTTGAACTCTGCTGTTGGATCAAAACCCTCTCCCTCTGTGTTATTTCAGCAACAGCTTTTTCAGATGCTGCTGCCAAAGAATCGATAGCAGGCTATCGCTGTGTGTTTGCACTCCCTCCATTTGTTTGTTTTGTTAAGGTTTTGCTCTCCATTATAATGAATCACTTTTTTTTCATCTGGTTCTTATTTATTCTCATAGCTAGAGGTAGAATGTGGTGGTTGATGAGGGACTGAAATGAACTGAGCCTTAGCCCTTAGCCCAGGGGCTGCCGCATATCTTAGCATAAGTGATGGCCGACCGCAGGGCAGGAGCTGGGCTGAGAGCGCCCCCAGGACAGCAACTCTGACAGATCATGTATTTATAGGTCTGTTGAAAGACCTCTATTGTGTCCCACATAGCCTTAGAGCATGTCTGTCCTCTGTATTATAATGAAGCCGCTGGCCTCACCACTATGATGGATGGGTGGCCCTAGAATGGCAAGCTCCAAAATCATTAGAGCTCTCCTAACATGCAGGTCTACCCAAGTGTAAGGCTCGTGGTGGGAGGAGGTGCTACTGGTAAGCAGTACAGTACTGTTGAGACATTTTTAATCATTTAATTATTAATTCTTCACCAGGGGGAGGGGGAGGGGGGGGGGGGGGGGGGGGGGGCGGACAGAGAAAAAAGGGGTTGAGGGAGGGGGCATGTTTTGTGCTGTGTTTGCCTAAGGGCACGTTTGCAATTATCTCAGTGGCTTGAAATGCCCTGCAGACTTTTGCAACACAGGTTAGAATGTGAAAACCTATAGCGCTCACAGGTAGCTCCACTGGTCAGATTTCATTGCTGCGGCACATTACGCCAAAGCCAGCATTCCATCACATCGCCTTATTTTCAGAGTTAATGTGCAAATGTGTCGGTGTGACTATTACTGCAAATGAGATGTTTGGAGGAAACGTGGAAAAAAAAACGGTTGTTTGGAAATGCCCCCACCCACTCCCAAAAAGAATAAAACACACATACAACACAAACAGCTTGACTTTTTCTGTGCCTTGAGCCTCACAAGCAGAGTGGTGTTTGAGCTGTTTCCCAATCTCATGTTCTTCTGTTACCTCTGGAGTAGAATATAAATGATTCCCTCTCAGTGTACAGTGTATGCCAGGGGGCCTGCAGCGACCATAGTCCGGTCTCAAATTCCTTACTGCAAGCACACCATAACTCAGGGCCCTGACTGATAAATAAACAATGGAAAGTGCAGCATGTTGTGGAGCATTACATCAAATCCTCCACTTGGAGCACCGTCACATATTACAATCCAATTCCAATGAGGTACTCAGGGGCTCCGGCAGAAGTTGTGTAGCAAATAGGGCAGGTAAAAAATCTTGAATCTCTCTGTGAATAAAGATTTACATGACATAATGTACAGTTAAAAGTACTTTTAAATTACACATGAATGCACTGTAGTGACCGTCTAGACATCTACCTCTGTTGATGATACTGGACACAGTGGCTGCAACGGAACATAGTTTTGTTAAAATTGTCTGAAACATTTAAATCTCTCCAGAGGACACTGACATTTGTCAGTTTTCAAACACATATGATGTCATCATATTACAATATAGGTATTTATTAGACTTCACCCTTATAGCCTCAATGTGAGATGTCTGTAAATTTGAAATCAATTCCTGAGGCTGAGGCTGAGAGGAGAAGAACAAAATAGAGAGGAAGACAGAGGGAGATGTGGGAGTTGTGTTTTTCTTTCTTTCTTTCTTCTTTTTTTTTTTTTTGCCACCGGTTACATTTATAATTATCTAGCTGGCATAAAATCGCCCAAAGGCTTTTTTCAATAAAGGTAGAAGGCACCTACAGTGTGGGAAATTAGCCACAGATCAACGCAGAAGGTAGAGCGAGAAGCAGAAAAGGAACAGACAGCATATTGTCCGATGGGCCGAGGACACTCATTAGGAACTCTTGGCTTTGTTTGCACCGAGCTGGAGATGTTTGAAGACGAGGTGAATGAGTCCGAACACTGACCTTCAGTGGCGGTGAGTGAGCCTGAGGAGCGAGGGATAGATGACCACAGCAACCTACTCTGCCTTTTGATGACAGGAAATAATCGCTACAAAGACTGAGTGAGTGAAGGAGGAATAATCAAGGAGACAGAACCTAGGACCTTAAATTACTTAACACCCCTCAAACGCTTGTCCTCCAAAAGACAGAAAGCCAGTGTCTTCATACAAATCATCTTTTTTTTCCAGGCTGTATCCTGAGTGAAGGCCATCTCTAATTCCTTTTCAAGTTAGTCTGAATTCAGAGGGCGAGAGAGAGAGAGAGAGAGAGAGAAAGACAGAGAGAGTGTGTATAGAGCCTGACAGGGTCTCATTATACTATAGGCGCCCTAAAGTTAAAAAAGTCCAAAATCACTTGGGGTGCACAATATGAACTGCAAAATGTTACACTAAAAACATGTTTTTCTTCTCCTGTGAGGAGAGTTTCTGTTTGAAGTAAACTTTTTAGAGCTTTAAACCCAAATTATCCCAATCAAAAGAAAATGTCACCCCTATCCCGTATGTCAACAACCCTAACTATTTTCCAGTCATCCTGTTTGGGGACATTTTCATCGATGAATTCAAGGCCATAAATTTAAATTTGGTTTCAGGCCCTATCTCTTGAAACTGGGGTGGGGTGGAGAATGAGCCCTCGGCCCTGGCTAAACAGGTCCGGCACTGTCTGAACTACCCCCAGAGCAAGGGTGTTAAACGGCGTCTGGATGTTTTGTGTCTGCAGTTTAATTGTATTCAGAAAAAACTGGTTCAAAATGGTGCAAAAAAAAAGGGCGTACATGGAAAATGAATTTCGTTAAGATCAAGAGGAAATTTAAATTTGATTTAGTTGAATTTGAATAGCCCCAACTTTTCCCATTAAGGAAGTGATGTGAATTTGGTTAAATGTTGTGCTTCTTCAGTCAGAAACTTTTCTAAAAGCATCCATTATTTTTAACATATATGTTTGGTTCTTAGTGCATGTGTTGAACTCCCAAACTTATGTTTTATTACACAGAAAATATAGACTTTGTTTGAGAATAAAGTAAAACCGGGCACCACTCACATCAAACACCATTTGCCCTTCTGTAAGTGTAAGTCCATCAAAGGGGAATCTGGGGCAAAGAAGGCCTGAAAAGGAATCGTATAGCATAAAGTGTAGATAGCCAAAGTAAGTGGAGATTCTGCCGAAAGCTATGAAGACAACAGAGCTCCGTGAGGGATTTCACTTCCCTCTTTGGCCCTGCAGTGATAAGAAGAGCAGAAAAAAACTCATCTCCATTCAATATAGCTAAGTAAAGAATAGCCCAAGACGTCACTGATGCACCAGCATCAACCCTCCAACGTACACTATTGCTTTAGCAAAGTTACTATTGGATGTAGAGGCTAAAATAATATAAAATGTAAAATAGTTTGCCACCGAGGCAGTCGAGGATGCCCGAAAAAAATGTACAGAGACAACAGAGATGCAGTAAAGTAAAGGTGAAGAAATGGTTTCTGGTCACTGTACTTACAAATTTGCTTAAGGCAGAGAAAAAAAAAAGTGGGACTTTACCCTGCAGCAGCAGCAGCAGCAGCAGCAACAGCAGCAGCAGCACAGAGCCAGAGTCATTGATGTTAAAACACCCAGGGTCTGATTCCTACAGTAAGAATATATTTCAGATATTATATAAATGTAGTATTGCAGTTTCAGTGAAGCCAAATGATCTGGTGTTGTATAGATTTAAGCACTATAAATTATATTTTCTTATAATTTATATGTTGAATAACATGCGTACAGGGAACCAAGTTTCAGATATAGGATTCAGCTCAGTGAATGCTGAAGGATTCTAAAACCACATATTAACTGTAGGAAAAATAAAAAATATATTAAAGAAAATGAATGGATAAAACCTCCTGTAACATTTAGCAAAAAAAAGAGGCCAAATTAGTTCATAACTAGCCAGAATTTTTTTTCACAAAAACAGGTTAGATATGTTAGAATTAGCCAAAGTATTTGCAAACAACAACCTTTTGGATCATAAAGTAAACTAAAAGACTGATTAAATGAATATCAGAGAACAAATAAAACCTTACTAAAAATACTAGGTGGACCATACAGAGTCAAATGTGAAAAAATAAAAGAATAGATGCTGAAAGTCACATAAAATAAAGTCCAAATGCCACATTTGGCCCCAGGGCCAGACTTTGGACACGCCTGTCCTTCAGTGCCATAAAAACAGTGAACAGACACCATGACAACTGAGATTTGATTTATTTCACATTTGCTGCTACATTCCTCTGTACTCAAATTTAGGGAGCGTAAATGGATCAGTCATCCTCGAAATACTTTAGATCCAACTTCATCCGAGTATTTGCTACAAGTAAAAGTGACCTTTTGTGGGTAGTACAATAAGCTTTTAATCAGTTCAGTCATGTCTGAGGCAACACATTGCTTTAAAAAGAGTCCATGTAAAAAAACACAAACACATATACAATGATAAAATTTACAGTTCATCACTCGGAAAGGAATATAATGATCCAATAAAATAATTTGAGTTAACAGTTCACACTCCCTGATGTGGAAGATGGTGAAATATAATAATTTACTCAGGGATTTCCTGGATGTGTTCGATGCTAATTATTGATGACACTAAAGGTATAATCCAGCAAAATATCTTCAATTAAAGTGAAAGAAAAAAAGACATACACTTCATTTATATCACAATATTAAACATCATGTTAATTGTGAAAAACAATGCTTTGCTGAATTTGATGATGACAACTGAGACATTCTGTACTGTAGCCTGTAACAAATTAGTAACCTTTTTTTTACATTAGGGAGAAACACACATGTCCAAACTGCCAATTTGTCAAAAAATAAAACCACTGGTCACTAAGCATCAAACTACAAGCCATAAAATCCTTTATGTTTAAGTTATAGGGATATTTTATAAATCATATTTAACCTAATGTAGGCTCAAAGTTTTAAAACAAACTTTATTTGGGGGAGTACAGCTTATATAAATCCTTTCTTTTAAATTGTTTTATGGGGCTAGACAATCACAAATGTCCTTGCAACTTTAAACTTAAATGTCTTGTCTCTTCTTATGGCAAAAAAAAAAAAAAAAGAAATCTCCTGTTGCATCTTTTTTTTTACTCTCTAGATGTTTGTAAGGTTAAGAAAACAAACAACATCAACCAGGAAATGGAGGAAATCAGTCCACACAGCTCTGCAGCGTGAAGCTTTTGGCTGCCACAGAAAAGTCTAGCACCCCCTACTGTCTGGGAGGATTCTAGTCCAGCTGCTCTTGTTTTATCCTGTGTGAATTGGCTCCTCGCTGACCTGTCCTCCTCAGTTCCCTCCTCAGAACGTACTCGCTGAATTGGGAGGAGTCCACCCCTCCGCCACAGGAGCCGGCAATCTCAAAGCCACGTTGCTGGAGACGCTCTAGAACCTGGATAAAGGTGCAATGCAAAGTAAAGGAAACAGGGTTAGAATTTTCTTGTCTTCTGTTGATGATTTTTAAAGGTCTTAAGGTCAGCCTTGACCTTCAAAGTCAAGGCTGACACCTGTATTTGGAAAATCCAAAACTGTAAATCCTCCCATTTTTTATGATACCTACTCTTGAACTTTTGACCAATATTGGACCAATACCAATCCTAAGTATTGGAACCGAGTCAAACGACAAACGACAGAACTATATATTTGAAACTAATTTAAAATCTTTTAGTTCAAATCCATTCAAGTTAATGATAACAATATATGAGTCTTATTTCATTGTTTCCTTCTTTCTCATGTGAATGTCTCTCTCCCTCTGTCTCTCTCTCTCTCTCCTCTGTTTGAGCCTCTGTGTAGCTGTTCATAATCATACACCCTTCCAGACATCTACGACGTGTCCGGGGGGGCTGTAGGATCACATTCCATCGAAGAGGCCCGAGGGAGCTGTGAGGCTTTCTTTTTGCCACTTGGCCCAGTGTAGGCTGTTCTGCGAACCCCCCTCATTCTCACTATTGCCCCCCCCAACCCTGCGGCCCAAGCCTCTGCCAAAACTACAAAGGTCCCCCTACTTCTGGCAGCTTTCTATGCACCCCTTCCTTCTCTCAAAACCCCCTCCCTGTCTCCATTAGCTGCAGATACAGCATCCACCGCCGGCGTGCTTTAATAACCAAACAGGATTATGGGCCCTGCCCGAGGACAACCTGCCAGGGAGCATCTCCCTCTCCTGCTCACTACGCTACAACTCACGTACTTCGGAATGGGGTTTCTTTGCTACTTTATTTATTTGTTTATGCTTTTTTTTTTGGTAGGGGTGGAGGGGTGAGGAGTGTCTCATCCACAGTCCAGATCACTGTGATAATTTCTTAAACACCCCGCACACTTGCTAATTTATTGATACTTATCTGAGCGTTTTACTATCAAATAATTAGTGGAATATCAATGTATAATTACAGGAATACAGTATTGCCAAATACATTCATGAATATTACATGTGGAATTTTGTTCATTCCAGAATTCATTAGTTTTCTGCTAAAATTTACAACTACAATTTGCCCTAGGAGGGTAACACAGTCAAGTTCTTTCCTTTTAAAAACATTTTGGCATTAAATGAATGAAGTCCATTCAACGGTGAGAGATAGCGGTGACATTATGGCCCTTCCCTCTGACTCCTCTAGAAAACTTTTTTTCTAGTGCCACATAAGGACAACAAGAATCCTCCTGAGAGGAAAAATAATCTTTATAATTCACACATTTTAATTGTCCTGACCCTTTCCCTCTTGTAACCAAATCAGCCCCTGACCCACCATTTAAACATCGATGTGACTATAAGTGGAGCTTACAGTTAACTAAAACACTGGTACAAATTATTGGACAAGTCTGTTTGCTGTTTAGTTGTTGTTTAGTTAAGTGTCACTCTAACTGCAGTAATTTCAGGGGTTGTGGGTTTGATTTCAGACTCTGTTAGCCTATATGTCAGCTCCTGGCATCGCTAAATTTTAAACTGCAGTGATAATCTCGTTGACCACTGACTACGACCACTTACATCTTATAGATACTATAACTGAACTGTTCATTCATTCTAAGCAGACATTACCTGGACAGAGTTGAGGTGGCAGTACCCATTGAGTGGGAAGCGGATGACGTGTGTGGAGTCATGATTCCAGCCAGCGTTGACGGAGTTGCACATGACGTCACCGATCTCTGGGAACACGTCTTCGATCAGAGCCTTGTCCCCGCTGAGCGTGATTCTCTCACCCAGGTCGGGTGCAACGCGCACCACCAAACACTCGCAGGGGCGTGACACCCGACTCAGCTCCTGGTCCTGGCGCCAGCGCTCCAGCTCTGCCAGCATGGGCTGCAGCTGGAAGTACCGAGCCTCCTCGTAGAGCAGACTGTAATCCTGAAGGAGACAGAGGAGCGAGGAGTGAGCTGTGGTGCTGCCGAACAGACACAGAGGTGCAGAATTTGAAGTGTCCACTTTATATGTCGTACTTGAATTTACAGGCATTCGTGGTAAAAAAAAAGAAAAGTCTACGTTTAAAATTAGTATCTTCAATACGTTCAAGCAACATAATATTCAAGCCACAGATTAAGACTAATTGAAAAACAGAGTAGGCTAAATCCAAGCAACTTATCAGTATTCTATCTGGACAAAAAATAAACTAAAGCCAAGACTAATTTAGGCAAACGATCCGGTACATAAAACACGGTTGGGGAACTGTGTTGTGGATTTGGGGTAGAGGAGATCCTTTATCCCCCGGTGGGCATAAAAAACACAAACATTTTAATTTTCCCATGCTCCTTTCAAAATCCTCCTAATGTGAACATTTCAACTGCGTCTTTTTTTTTCTTATTTTAGCTGACATACTTTCTGCTGATTGAGTCACGCTGTGGGCAGTCCATCTGATAATGCGGTTATTTGTTTTCTCCCGGGGCAAACTAAGTAATTACTAACTGAATGAAAGAGTTAAAAAAACAAAAACAAACAAGGAATGCTAATGTGTCACATACAGTGGCACTCGCCCTGAAAGTACAATTTGCCTGGGTTAAATGGAAGAGCAACGAATAACTGTAGCATACGTAGTTTGGTTCAGGGTGGTGCCACGTTTGCTGAGGGGACCTGACGCAAACCTTCCTGCTTCCATATCTCAAATGATCTTTAGCTGGAGGGCGCCAAACTGCATCCTGTGATCAGTAAATGCACAATGGCTGAGCTTGGTTTGAAAGAGCCACTGTATATTCAGGCAGTCACGGAGGAGAACCGATGACCAAAGGCAGCGCATGGCCTCAGCAATTATTGCGTGTGCTAAATTGCAGGAGTGCTGACTGGCTGATAGGAATTCAGTCGTTTCTGGGATGGACATCATCCTCTTACTTTGAAGTCGTCTGGAATGAGGAGCTTGGACGTCCTGAGGAAGTTGAGGATGTAGCGGAACATGTGTCCGTCCCTGTCAATGAAGTAGTGCTGCTTCAGGCTGTCCAGGACTATAGGCTCTGTACCATCGAAGAGGCGACCAATTCTGCACACAAAATATTGAGATTAATGAAAATTCATCATAATCGCTTGTTTTACTCTGCAGTTCATGCACTAGTATACTGCACAATTAAAACAAAAATGAATAATTATTACAGGGAGAGGGTCAAATGTAAGGGAAACAGAACACAATGACAGAAGGGAAGATGAAGAGAGATAAGAATAAAGAAAAGAGGTGGTCTGGAGGGGTCAGGCCCAGCTGGTAGATAGTTGCCCCAGGCAGGGTGCCAGTCACCCTGGGGCCTGAGCTCGGAGCGACTGTGCTGCCTCCAGATGGCCCCATGCCCCGTGGCCCTTTGGTGCTGCTGTGACATCTGTCAGAATAAGCAATTTCTCTTTTGTCTGAGTGCTTCATTCTGCACTTAATGCTCATACAGATTGTTTACTGCTGCAAAAGAAATCTGTGGGTGTAGTATACGAAAAAAGGCATTTGTGATTAAATACGTTATAAACCCCACAGAAAATGATATGTCGATTGAGGGATTCTCACTGTAAGACTATGCATCAATTTTTTTTTTTTTTTTTTGCAGATGACACTAAACAGGCAAAGATCACACGTAAAACCAAGAACAGGATTGTGGCAAAGGTTCACACACTCACCTGGATTCTGGGAATTTTGTAAGAGTGGCCAGACTGCTGGTGTACATGTGTCCGCCTACATCAATGTGCACAGGGGCATTGGACTTGGTGAGCTGTGCAGGTGTGGGGATGCCCTGGTTACTCAAGGGAGACACCGGTGACCGTGTGATCATTGGTCTGGACATGCTGGAGCGATTATCCTGGTCCAAAACACACGAGAGAAAAGACATGAAATTCTTCTGCAGGCTTCGAAATGCATTCGAATGATGCTCACAGCTGCACATGCATAGATATGCAAAATACTAGATCACTTGGCAAGAAAATATGAATATTTCTTCATATAACACTCCCCAGTCTGGAGTGCAAGGCATTTGTATCCCGCTGTGAGCTACAGCAGCCTGACCTTGACCTGAATGTTGCCACAGAGAACATGAATCCAATCCTGTGGGCCATAATCGTCTAAACCAAATTAATTTGGATCATCACTCTCACAGTCTCAAAGTAAGCCACGATGACTTGGGACACAGTAATAGAGCGTGAAGATACAATGTCTGGTGTTAACCCACAAACACCATTATAAGGCAATTCGTATGTACAATATAAATACACCGTAGACTGGAAAAGTTGAACTTTTGTTTTGCGGAATACAATAACAAGGCTCGAAAAGATGGCAAACTGTGAGGATCAAGTGTACACTGTAAAGGTCAGTGGTTCTCAAATGGAGGTATGCATACCCTTAGGGTACTTGAGGGCCCTCCAGGGGGACATGAGATCTTTAAAAAATAATAAAAAAAAATACATCAAATCCAAGGTTTTACTGAATAAATATTTCAATTCAAATGTAAGTGAATATTCATAACTGTCACAAACCCAAGTCTCTCACTCAATTATAAGTTTAAAATGATTAAGTTCAATGTAACATTGCAATGCATCTCCAGTGTTGACAGTTTGTAAGTTTAAGATTCTGAAGACATTTAAAGTTTTTAGCAAACATTTTAAAGAAATGGTATATGATGATGAGTTCTATAAGGGAGAAAATATCTACGTATAATTGTATTGATTATTTTTTTAAATAAATGTTCTACAAAATAATTCAATCTTATAACAGATATTTGTAGGAATCCCAGAGAAAATGTTTTTTTCTAATTTATTTGCTGTGCAAAAATCATTTTTTAAACACGTGTCTTTGCCCTTAGTTGTTTAAATATCTCCTTATTTATAAGTGGTTCAAGAGAGACTACTTCAGATGAGCAGTGTTTGACAGTTATAAAGTTTAATTAGTCAGACGCTAATGGCACAGTGGTGCGTTCAATGTCCAGAGTCCAATTATTCAACCGAAATGTTTGATGCTGGTTAGGATGCTCTTGCTTGACAAAATACTTCAGTGAAAAGATGAATAACCACTGCTATAGAACGACAAATGCATTCACACATTATATTCCCTATAGCCTCGTTTATGTAACAGAGAAAAGTCGCTCCCAGTTTTATCTATCCATCCCTGCAAAAAAACCTGCAAAAAACCTACAGCGATCTTCTCGCCTTTACCTGTGCAGGCATCACTGTGGTTGGAGACGAATTCACCGAGTGATCATTCTGTTTCAGGGAGGCAGCGGGCACAGGCTCTCCCCTCACGGCGAACATGAGTGCGGGCTCCCTGCTCTCCGCCGCTCGGATCGGCAGCCGTTTGAGCGAAGCGTGCACAGACTCATCTGCAGAACTGATTGGACGCGGTCTCTTCCTCGCCTTCTGATGCGTCAAGTCCATGATATCCGTCTCGTCCATTATCTCGCAGACTTAAAGGTGAGCAGACGTGACGCACTTTTTCTCCCCGTCCTATATTTTCTTTTCTTTTTCTTTTTTGGCTCGGCTCTTTTTCCTCGTTTTTCTGCAAAATACTGGTACACCGGAGGGAGAGCGGGCGCCGCGACTGCTGTCACACCGAGAGGCGCCTATGCAATGGCTGGGAGAAGTCAAAGCCCCCGACAACATTAGCATTGTAGTGCCCGCGGCTCTTCTGGGCTGTCGCTCTTTCAGTGGCAGGTAGCCTATGTGTGCGCCGCGTTTTCAAAATAAACCCAACGCTCTTTAACATAATGTCGCAGTCTGGAGGGGGTCGACTCAGTCTGTGGACCTCATCTGGACCTTTAACAACTGGAACTTTGCCCTCTTGGAGCAGTGGTTCAGCAACCACGATAATAATAATAATAATAATAATAATAATAATAATAATAATAATAATAATAATAATAATAATAAAAACAATAATCATTATCATAATAATAACCAAAATGTCCATTGTTTCCTGCACTTTCATCCTGAGCAAATTGATGATTGATATTTTCAAAGTCAGGGTCGTGGCCCCAAATTTGGGTCAAAACAGCGGCAGTCCTGGTCTATAAAGATCCCACCTCCAACTCCCTGGCCCCTCACATTCATAGTAACAAAAGTTTAATTCACATAGGTCACATAGTTGAAATATGGTTGTCATGAATTAAAAAGGAAAAGAAACACTACAGAAGAAATATTAAGATATATATGTGTGTGTGTATATATATATATATATATATATATATATATAAACTATATTCGATATAGAGAGATCAAACCAGTTTATTTATAATATGGGCTCTTCGTGGCATTATTTACTTTAGCAGAGAGACAAATGTAACCTGACATGGCATCACCCTTTCAATGACCACAAAAGCATAGCTGTGGAAATAAAAATGGAGAAGAATTATGTTAATGTTATAGCCCCAAAAGGATCTCTGGTTGTTTTTGACTTAGGTTGGCTTATATGCAAATCTTCTGCTATAACAGGGGTTTCAACCTGTGGTATGTGTACCGCTGATGGTACTTGGGCTCTCCCTAGTGGTGCAGGGGAGGAATTGGATGAGGAATTGGATTCCTATATAGATGAGATGAGTGGCTTTTCTCACAGTTCCTACTGTGGCTCTGTATGCTTTTGTGTTTAGCTACAACGTGGGCTAATACTTTGAAGGATAAATTCTATTCTTAATATTTTTCCTGATCTTTTGCTGAACAGGTTAGGTCTGTTCTGCAGTATTTTATTGTTGGTCATACAGGTAGTACTTGGAGAGCCAAATGTTTTTTAAGGTGGTATTAGGAATACAAAGTTTGAGAAATACTACCTTGTTACAGATGCTGGTGTTGTCATACACTCCTTCCTGGTTCTCACTGAATAATTCAGCTGTCAATCACTTATTATCGTCATCACTTATTTTATTATATTCAAATAAAAGCAAATAATGCACATCCCCAGAGTACCTGTATATAACCATGTTTTCACCTAAAGTAACAACAATAAGTACTTTCAGTAAAACACATAACGACCTGTGGATCACATGACCCAGGAGTGAATGCCTTTGGGGGAAAAAACCCTCCAAGAATTAAAATAGTCTGTAGACATGTGTTTAAAAAGGCTTTGGGCAAAAAGAAACTTTTTTTTTTACATTTTTTGCTGTTGATGAGTGAAAACTATTTGTATTGCCACAGTGCATTTGTGGTAAGCAGTAAGATGATGTCGAAAGTTGGATCAGAATCAGCGTAATTTGACTGGTAGCCTTAACATAGCCTAAACAAAGCAACTTGTAGACATACTGTATGTGTGTAGATTTAAAAAAAATGTTGGACCACATTTCCCAGTCCTAGCCTGTAGCACTTGTTAATTACTGGACAGTGTTTGTTAAGTGAAGCACTTTGTGAAAAGTTATGCGGTGGCTGAAAAGCTCATGTAAACACTGGTACTGAGGCTCCATCCCCTGAGAACCACTAAGACCATGTCATCTAAAGCCTCTACGCTAATAAAAGTATGCAGCGTAAAACAGGACAACAACATGTCCTGCTTTTAAAACTACAGCCAAAGCACACTCTTGGGCTGTTTTCCCCCCACTAAAAATGCAGAGAATCCACAAATTTTAATAACATTCAGATTAAAATTAGTTAGTTCAACGACTGGCCTTAAAACATCCACATCTGCTCATTGGCTGTGTGAGCTTCACACCTAGATACCCAATTAGCAATTAAGCCTGCCTTTAAGTGCAGGCCTCCAATGTAGTGTGTGTGATCCTGCTCTGATTTGCATGCCGCTTGTGCACGCGCTGATAAGCGCAGGCAGCAGCCATACATAGTTTTAAAATTCAACTCCTGAATCCCTTGCAGAAGGCAAAGGGGCCTGCAGGGCAGAAAGGAGAGAGAGAAATCACATGGCTGTGCTTCAAAAGGGGACCTGTGTAAGGCAGCCGGCAAAGTGCGTGGGATCACACTCAGAATGCAGGTAATTTGTTCCCTGACTAATTTGTAGAGAAGGTGGTGTGTGTGTGTGTGAGAGAAGGTTGAGACAGTGAGTGTGTGCCAGTGGAGAGTAAGTTCTGAAAACAGCTTGGTGGAATTGGATTTCCTCAAAGCCTTGTCATTGCAAAGGTGGATTGAGTGTAAAATCTGTAAGGCGTTATGGAAAATTTCTTGCGTGTGGGGGGGGTGGGGGTGAAAGAGAGCAGGGTGACGGAGAGCGTGAGGTGGCTGTGGTGTAAGTCGGTTGTAGAAGAAGTGCTCCTACGTATATCACGACACAAGTTTGATGTCTAGTAGCCCTTCCCTTGGACAGTCTCCCTTTTATGTTGCTTTTCTCCTCTTTGGCCTTAAGGACAGTTCAAAGGTCACGTGCTCCATCATGCAGGGCTTATTAATGAAGGTCATGTGTCTGCAACAGTGATAGCATTGATAATTTAGCAGATAACTGATTGTAGACAACAAATCTAAACTGGCCAGTAAATATCATTTTTCCCAAAACTTAAAAAACCAATGTCAAATTTTTCCTTCCCACAATGCAGCTCTCTAGCATTTTTAACGTATGGCACAGGACATAATTAGCATTTCAGATCATAGCATGCAGTTTTTTGGCAGACAGACTGGTATTTACATAAACTGGATGTGTTGTCTGTGCTTTGGTGCCCGAGGCCATTCGTGTCACATGTCCCCACGACAGACTTTAGGTTAACTTTATTCACAGCAGACTGAAACTGTAGGGGAACAGGTGGAGAGGCTGTTGTTGCAGCAGGAACGTTTGGAACAGCCTGTGGTTTTAATTTTATACCTCTGGAGGATGAGTTACTTCGTCTTTGTGATGTAATGTTCTAAGGCTTCATTTTCATCATTTCATGTTGTATTTCTTAAAGGTAAAGTGCACAGATTTGGCAGCATCTAGTGGTGGAGATACTTGTGGTTCGTTATTGCTCAGCTTGCCTTATATTGAGAACATGATCGCCTTCACTTATAAAGATTAGCTGTTGGGGTTTTCTGCTTCAGGGTATTGTTAAAACATTGCCCTCTATAGGAAAGGATCTATATTCTGGATGTAAACAAATGTAAACACTGGTAATTATTTGATAAGGTGAACCAATAATTTACTTTTAAATCTCAGCTTATAGAAGCATGCAAATTAATATTACCCAGAACATCTGTAAAAGTCAATGGTCTGTATGTTTTGCAGAAACCGCAGCAGTGCATTGACAAAAGACAAACTATGAAGGATGTAAATCTGCTCCCGATAGTATCTGCACAGAAGCAGTCTCTCTGGGTGATCCAATCAGTGTCTGAGAACTCACAGAGTCAGTAATGATGTCACAAGTCAGGCTTTGAGAGGAGCAGACCACAAAGTTTTGAACAATTTCAGACATGACATCCAACACACCGCTGTTGTTGTGCTCTCCGAATTTCAAACACAAAACACTGAAATTATTTCCTGGCCTTAGACACAAGTACGACTCACTGTGGTAACAGTGACATCACAGATAATGATCCCAGGTATGCCGCAGGCTGTTGAGACGCTGGTGCATGTTCTCTGGCACAGCCTGAGCTGTCCCAGGGCACGGGAGTGGCCACACAAAAAAGGAAATGCTATATGAAACGTGGTAACAGCATTTCTCCCCCGGAGGAGCTCCAGTTTAGTCAAGCACCTCTAATTTATGGTTGTTGTGACGTACAACCACTGATCTGCCTTATTAATACGTGCCTCCTGCCACATCAGTCTGCCTCCTGAACGGTACTTTAATGAGGAGCAGATGTCCACATACTGTACATACACAGGAGTGCAGAGGCTTCTTTCTGCTACAGCGCCATCAAGTGATCAGTCCTGATATGTCAACATCTCAGACTGGATGCTTAATCACGGACACATCTCAAACTGGAGAAACTGGCTGCCACGTTATTATTTGTGACCCAATTATAGCAATTTATTCTAAAAATGTTGTGTTTCATGAATTTCATTTAAAATGTCATTTTGCTGCTGAAAGAATTCCCTAAAGTTGATACAGTTTTTTTTCTTTTTAAATAATGCACAATTATTTTTTGAACTTTTTAATTAATTAAATGTATGGAGATATATACTTGGGCAGTACACGTACCTCTGTGTAAATACAACCATGTTAGTAATTTGTAAATTATACATTTTGCCGATTCGTATCCAGACCTTGGAGTAAATTACGCACGGCGCGGTCAGAGAGCCAGCAGAGGAAAAGGAGCGGACTCTCCAATCGCCCTTTTACGCCTTTATTTTGGCTAATTCCAATTTCCCAATAGGACTGGTGTTTGAAATAAAACCTGATTGTTAGACTCTGCCTTGACGTGCTCTAAAGGTACATCGTGTCTTGCGGAATAAGAGAAAAAAACGCCCGAGGCAAAATGACTCCACAATGGCGTCTTTCATTAGAAGATCTGGGGCAGCCAGGAAGCGGAACAGTTTCACGGCAAAACATGACTTCAACAAAAACCAAATAAGAAAAAGAAAACGTAGGAACCGACACACGGGGTTTAAATAAGTTGGGAGCAAGTTAGACAGCGACGCCGAGACGGAGACGTGTCGGAGCGGCGAGGCGCCAGGAGCGAATTCACTCGCAGCGCATGTGGAGTGTTTTCTGGGTCAGACTGCAGTGAAAACCGCCCATGAACACAACATGTATCAGAGGGTTCGTTATCTTAGTCGCATGAATACTAACTAAGCAACAATAAGCAGGAAGTGGTTAATATTTTTAAGAAGTGTACCGCTTGATTCGCTTGGCACATGCGTAAAAGCAGCTGCGCCTCTGTGTCCCACTCCATCCAGCCACGGAAATAATAGCAAAGCAAATAAATGTCCGCTTACCTGAAACATAGAGAGGCATAAAGTATCTTTTTATGCACCTTTTCTCTCCGATTTGGCCAACGATCTGCTTCTCTTCCTACACAGCTGAGAAATGCAATAGCTTGGCTAAGGTAGACAGAACAAAATACAGAGAATACTTGCTCCAGGGCTGAGAAACCCCTCAAGGCAAAGATCAGGATACAATTAGCTCATGCCTCTGCCCCAGTCTAAAACCATCTTCAGAATAAAACTGCAAGCAAAAGGGATCACAGCAGCAGCAGCAGCAGTGCCTCAGTCTTTGTAGAGTTTATGTTTTTATTAAATCAAATAAAGAAATCTCTCTTTTTTTCTGCATTTACAACACCCTCACTCCTCCTGCCTCCAACTTGCCTATTGCCTCCCTCTCCCAGAGAAGCTGATTTTAATCGTTATGATTAGTTTTGATGTGACGTTCCCTGGGGCCATTTCTACAAATGGATGGAGTGTTTCTTTCCCAGGGAGGAAAAGCAGCAGATGATGATAATTATATAGATTGTTGGTGGAGCTTTGTGATGCCCCCCCCCCCACCTCTTAAACCTTTAACACATCAACTCTCCAACACGTGCCATACACACTGTATGGGCAATAAGACAACTTGTTGATTAGACTGGGATCAACTTTTTTTTTTCCAAATTAATGAAATGTGCTTGCTGAAATCCTCACTCTTCCTTGTCGCCCCCCTTTTGTAATCTCCTTAGTCTCTTTCCTCCCTTTGGCCAACCTCCAAATGACGTAGCTGTATAAATAAGCACTTGAGTTTGCCTTGCCCCAATCAAGTCTGAATCAGTGCCTGGGGCTGATGTGCGAGCTCATTTCAAATGTTCACCCATGCATGATTTCGGGAAGATTGAGGCACTTCTGAGGCTTTTAGAATTACTCAGGGGACGCACGCAGTGCAGGAGTCACTTGTTTAAAGACTTTCCTTTTGTAAAAAAAAAAAAAAAGCCTTTTGTAAAAAAAGTTGAAAGTTTATCACCATCTGGTGTCAGGAGTTGTATTGGCTACACATGTGGACATTACACTGACAGTTATTTCTTCATTTTCCCAACGTTTCCTCTGCACTTTATCACTGACAAACCCGCTCTTGCTCCCCCTACTGTTGGCTGCGTGGACCTTAAACAGTTTAGCCATGTTATTGTAATTTTATCCAGTATTTAAAAACAAAGCCGGGCAGAAGAACAGAACAGAGAAAACAGTTGACGGGAATATTTACAAACAGACTGGAGATTCGAATGTTTATTCAGGAAGAAAATTGAACCCTGTCCCCCTTCTCTTCAAACAACAGTGGAACATGAATGCCATGCCAATGGAACAGCGAGTGACGAATTCAAACGTACAAACTGGGAGAAGTTTCCAGTTCTTCCCTTCCTTCTGAGAACACTTCAGTTTCTCTAGCAGATCACAGAGAAGAATTTCTCTTCAGGAGACGCCAGCTCTCCGTTGCCCATCTAATCCAGGGATCGTTTAACTTTCCAGGTTTTGATCAGCTCGTCCCACAGGAAAACAAACACATGGCTACATTGTTAGGATGAAGTTATTTGCCCCGAGGGGGAATTGGCACAAAATGCAGAGAGCCTCCTGCACACATGCACGCATTTTTATTCCATTCATCAGACAAAGTGAACTGAGAAAACCCCCAGGCCTTGAAAGCCCATACATTGTTCCAATACAATGCATGTGGCGTCTCTCTCTAGAAGGAAATCTTAAAAGTTGAACCTTAGAAATTACACCAGATTAAACCGAACTACAGTATGTAGGTGTTGTCGCTGCCGAAATGGACGTTTTTTTTTACCGATGTATCAGTAGAAGGGTCGTATGGCTCTGACTCCTACAGCAGGTAAACACTGCCTGCCTGTGCTGTATTTGGTGGACAAATTATCCTGATTAGTTGCAGCTGTGCATATGCCCCAATCATAAACTGCTGAGCCTGAATGACATCATATGGGTTATAATTGGGGAACAAAGAGAGAGCAACGCTGGAAAAATGTATGTGGTTTACTGTACTTTACTATGAAACATAGTTAAGTTTTTTACTTACTTTGTGCCTTAACTTACCAGTGAAGTTTGGTGCATTATTGTGGAAGAACAACTTGCTTCAGAATAAAATGGCTTTTACTTTTTATCTGTAAAACTCTGTTTCCTGGAGTCACATCATGTTGACTTGTGTTAAACATATGATTGGCGTCAGTGACTCAGACTGTTCCTGTCATGACTGTCCAGGTTTTAAATAAATTTGAAAATCTCCTGTGTGAAAAAAAAATCCCCAAACGTTAAGAATATAATTTAATCTTCTACTTCTTAATGTTTCAGGTTCAAGAGGAAGGTGGAGCTGAAGCTAGCAATCATCAGGCGAGCGTAAGTACAGTCCTCCCCCTCCTTCCTCACCCTCCCTCTTCAAACACACAAGGAACACACACGGGCTCTGACCACTGACCTTCCTGCTATAGGAAGGCTTAGAACACATTTTGACTTTAGCAAATTTCTGTTGACCCTGGAGACATTTTTTCTTGCTCTCTGGAATTAGTTTTCTGTCATGTTAGTTATACTGTGTTGCTAATACAGAGTAGCCAGATAAGTGCACAAAGTGACAGTTTATATATTTTCTTAAATCCTTTACTAGATATTTCAGGGAACCCCATTTGAATTCCAAGTGACCCTACATTGGGTTGTAACCCCAAGGTTGAAAAGCTCTGATCAAGAATGTCAAGAAAAAAATACTTTCAACTCATGCGTCATACACACCAATGCATGTTGCTTTTGCCTGAGTCTACATTAATAACCATACAGTTGCCACGCCCAAATTGCCTGCGGTTATGTAAGGGAGTGTGGGATGAATAAGGTAGAGTTCTGAAACTGGTCCAGGGCCTGACTCAGTCTGCCCTGCAGGGCTGTACCGTTTGGGGCTAGAACTGTTCATCAAATATTATCTTTGGCACATTTGAGTTTTGCTTTGGAGAATGTCTGTTACAACACTGTTGTCCAAGTCATGCTATCATTTAGTCATAACTTATACCCTGAACTTACACTCTAAGTGTAAGTTTCATATTTGCTGCACAAGATGCTGGGACCTAAAGCCTTTCAACAGGATCAATTGTTTCCCTTAAAACCCTTATATTATTTGGTACATGTATTCTGCCCCCTAGTGGATTAAGGTTAGGGTCATATAAAATAATATATATGATATACAAAAAACTTTTTAAAATGTGTTATGAGGTTTAATAATAATCTGGGTTTCAAAAACAAATTCTGAATATTCTGGGGGGTTCTCTGGGGAACTTCTACTACACAAAACTGCTCTGAGTTTTTATCACACTACATATTAAAATACAAGAAAGTATGTTGTGAGCAAATGGAAAGACACTAATGAAAGCTAGTTGGTGGTTTATAATAGCTAACAAAATGCTACAAATCAACATGTCTGTAAGCAGATATGTAACGGCCGGTGAGACCTACGGTAACATGACACTTTTCAGTTTGTTATGCAGAAGTTGGAGAAGCTAATGAGTTTTGTAGTACTGGTGTCCTTTTGATCCCAACCTGTGAACATACACCTGTCCCACCTTCAGTGGACAGAGAAGTGACACGACTGTGAGGGGAAGAGAGACAAGCAGAGGGTGGGGAGGTGCTTGGGTAATGCTGTGAGGCTCTAATAAAATGTAATCCTATTATATGGTTCCCACTAGAGGGCAACAATAATAAAGGTTTCCCTAATAACACAAGCAGACCAAAACATCTCCTCCGGTCAAGTTCCACACTTGCACATATATCCTCTCATTAACCCAATTGCTGTTGGGCCACATTACACCGACAGACCTTGGAGATTTAGCCGTGATGGCGAAGCAAGAGTTAAGAAAAACAAATGTGTTTCATCAAACTGCAGTTTGGGCTGCTATGCATAAAGGAATTGAAAGGGGTGAGGTGCGGTGGGGTGTTAGGCGGAGGAGGAGTGAGGGAATGTGTGCGGGTGGGAAGTTGGAAGCAGAGCCCCGAGGAAACCAATCAGAACTTTTCCCCCCTCCTTTCCTGTGTCAAAGCCACTGGGGTCTCAGGTGTACGTTACACCAGCTAATACCTCCCAAACATTGTTTGTGTTGGAGTTAATCAGAATTTGGTAGATTACCATTTTAGGAATGATAGTCCTATCATTGGTAAACAAAATCACAATGTAGTGGAGGAGCATCATGAACCAGCAATCGCACGATAAGACTTGATAGCTTAGCGAACCGTCCAAATGATTATGAACTTTAATACTTCCTCGTGGGCCAAACTAAATGAAACATTGTCTCTGAGTGGAGACGCCAAAACCTGGAATCCCTAAATTCTTGGAATATTTTCACAGACAAAACACCGAAAATCGACTCCTCTTGGTGCTGAACCAGAAACATGACAGTCTGTGCTGCAGAGAGACAGAAACCAAAAGTCTCATATTTATACGATTTCATAAAGTAATGAGTGAGTTTCCGACGACGTCGTCGTATATTTATCATAAGTGACAAGGTGAGTGAGGATATCAATCATTTCCCCACGACAGCCTGAGTTATTAAGTGAGCCAATGTAACAAAAACCCAGAATAATAAAGTTGTTTATCTCTATCTCTCTGGCTCTATTCGCATGTGTGTGCACATGAAAGTCTCTTTGTGTGCGTGTGTGTTTTTGACAGCATCAGACAGTGAGAGAGTGTCGCATGCCTTCCTCTTCCTGTACCACCCTCCAACCCCAGAGCCGAAGACTCAGGGCAGTTTCCAGAATCAAACAATTTCACGCAGCTACTGGAGGAGGAAATGAACTGAGCCCAGAGCAATAATAAAATTATACAAATGTTATTACAGACTCGCCTGCTACTGTCCTACTTTAATTCAAATTTGGGCACTGCAGGCGCTGCTGGTGGCACAGACCTTCCTGAATAAATCAACATTAGCTTACGTCTAAATTATTAAGGAAGTGGGAGACTTTCTTGTTTATAGTATGAATTATTAAACGTGTTGTTAAAGTGTTTAAACGCTGTTTTTCTTCACCAGTCCCCAAATATTAATTGCTAATGATCTTTAAGGTGTGTGTTTTATCGTTTTTTTTTCTCCCCCCCTTCTGTGGCATGCTGGGAATTGAGATTTTGAGCTGTCAAGATGTGAGGAAGAACCGGCTGTTGCATATTAGATAAGTGGGAGATTCACTGTGAGATATAATCCTCTGGCATCTGTATGGTATGCTAATGAAGTCTGGGGTGTTACTGCGTCTCCATCGCGTGGCTCCATCACTGTTGTAACATAAGGAGGATATGGATGTATATGGATGTAAATTATGGGAAAGGCTTTAAACGCTCGACATCCTGCTGATAGGCCTTTGGAGATGTAAAGAAAATGTCGGCCTATTAGCTGCTGTCGCTTTACATTAACTTTGCACTAACTGAGGTGTCTGCACCAGTTATGGTGACAACCGGCATCTATGAAAACCTATCAACATGAAAGTATTCAAAAAGACCACGTAGCATGTAGCGCTGCGATTAACTTCCACCGTTCCTTATAAAATACATTACATTCTAATTTGAATGGTGATCTTCACATTACATTCTAATTTGAATGGTGATCTCTGTCTTTATTTTTTTTCCCCATGCAACAGTTCGTCTTTTACAGCTGTCACTTAAGCTTCAGTTTATAGAACTGTGACATATGGGGCGAACAGGAGAAATCTCTGTGTAAAGGCCCAGAGTCCAAGCATTTCTGAATAGACATGACCTAGAGGTGCATTAGAAACTGCCATGCTGCTCTAATGGACCTGACCACATGGCCTCAGGACCGCTCTAGGAAATCAGTGTCACTTTACAGAGCCCCCCTGCATCAAAAAGCTCCCGTTGTTTAGAAATACCGTAGAGTTTTCTGGATCAGAGCTCATCTGAGATTGACTCTCGGACAACAGTGATGTCTCTGTGGACACATAGCTGCAGGTTTCAGCCTGTTTTTAGGTAAAATGACTATGATACTGAAGATGATGATGATATCACTCAGACAACCATAAAGAAAAAGGTGCAAATACCAGATGAAGTAGATAGACTTTTACAAAGTATGTGGCTCATACTTTGACAAACCACTGTCCGCAGACCGAGCTGTGCTTTAAAGGGCCTTGACTGCCCTCCCTTGGACAAATCCAGTAGGTAGGTGGATTACTGTACATTTTGTGATTAACATTTGAGCCAGAAGGTGGTAGTGTTGTAACATTTGAGAAATGCACCATGATAGAGAAAGCAGGCTGGAATGCCAACCGAAATAAAATAAAATAAGAAAAATGTGTTGATACATCAGTCCCGGAGAAGTGATTATTTATCCCACATTGTAGAAAACAGATTTAGTTATTATTTAGTTGCACAAAATGTATTTAAGATTTACCTTTATTTTAATCTTTTAACCTTTATTTTAATATATAAAACCACTACTATAAAAATCTTGGCCTCATTCTCAACTGAATAATCAAAGATTGTAAGATTTAGTCTTTAGCTCGGCCAAGCAAAGTTACATATATAAACCGTGTCTTGATGGTAGCTGGCAGTTTTAATTGCAATGCTGACACCTACTGGCTACTGTAGTTAAAGATTTCTATTCTATTTTATTCAAATAGAAAAGTAGAGAACAGCATCACTGCATATGTCTGAGACCAATTACAAATAACAAAAATGTTATGTTTGTTTATTACGTGAAACTGTGAATGTATTACATGAGTTGAAAATGAAAATGAGTTAGTTGTGTGAATATTATAAATAAGACCAACAAACACAGATGATCTATGTGCATCGTGTATAAGTCAAATTAAGTGTAAAGTCGGCAACTAAGAAGAAAAAAACATGTGACAAGAACAAGATCGAAGTCTAATCTGAACATCAACACAGTGTGTACTTGTTATATATTTATGAAAACTAAACAAAAATGAGGAAAAACCTAGAAATGAACCTTTAGAGAAGCCCAGTGTCTTCTGGAAGTAGGTGAGAAGCTGAGGGCTGCTTCCTGCAGTAATGCACTGAAAATAGAGAGCACTGTAATATTGTTGTAATAATAATAATAATAATAATGCTTGTCAGCGCTTTTATTGCCTCGGTACCTGTGATGTGTTTAATGATCACCTGGAAAATCTCCCTCATTGTTACATATACAGTACATGGAGCAAATGTGACACTAATCCTGAAATAACAAGGCTGAACTTTCCTCTTCACTTCTCTGGTGCAGCGTGATGGAGCCAGCTAATTGGTGGGGGCCTACAAATATTTCTCCCACACAGAGTACTGCAGAGTGTGTGGCGTTTGCTGCATGCCAACACTGCTGCAGAATTATTCAAGGCCTCGGGAGTATTATCGGACAGATTGTCGATGTTTGTGGAATTGAGGCGCAGCATCATATTAGCTTTATGACAGTGAGAGTAATTCAGCCGTGCTGTAGAGTCTCATTGATGCAAATCATATTCTGCTGTGATGAGGACAAAGTATTTTGGATGGGAGAGGCTCCACGGTAGATAATCCATACTTTGATTGTCAATCTGTTTTACAGATTGGTCTCCATTTCCAGTGCACGTGATAGTCATACAGAAGACAGCACTTCTCCCGTGGACTCCTGGAAGGGATCTTTCTTCTCCACCTTCTCCAGGTCTACAGTGTGGATGGAGCCTGGCTTAATGCAACACGTGTCCTCCGTCTGCACCTCTCTGTATTTCCCTGACGGGTCTTTCTGGAAGGTTAGTTTCAGCCTCTCCTTTAACTCAGTGTCAGGGCAGAACAGGTACTCATACAGGCCAGCAGCCAGTATGGCCCCCAGGATGGGTCCCACCCAGTACACCTACCAAAAACAGACATGCAAAATGAATATCATTTTGTATCAACTACACATATACTAAATACTTCTGCTTCAAACAAAGCTACTACTACTGCCCCTACTGTTGGTGTTGCTATTCCTATTAGTACTGCAGTCACTGGTAGTACTAATATTAATACTATAAATCAATATGGACCACCATTAACCACCAGTACTACTATAGGTGTACTATAAGTGCTACTGCAAATATAATTTATGGCAACAATATTATAAAATATAAATGCAGTAACTAGTACTATAATCAACAACTATAATCACCATTTCCTTTCATTGTACTAGTAGTACTGGAGTTTTTTCTGCTGCTACTACTAAAAATGACCAATCATAATACTTTCACTGCACCTCTGCTATTGCTACTACTACTAGTACCACTAGAACTACTACTACTACACTACTAGTACCACTAGTACTACTACTACTAGTAGTAGTACTATCATTGCTGCTGTTGTTGTTGTCTTTTGCTACAACCACTTCCCCTTTCCCTCATACTTATCTTCCAAAACCCCTATCTTTACTATGACACTACTACTATTACTATACAAATACTTCTGTTTGATAATAGCAATACTTGCTAAGCACCACTAAAATACTACAAACTCTAATATTAACAATAAAAAGAATATTGCCCCTGCAGTTACTGTTAATTTCCACTTCTTTTGCCCCTCCCACCTGCGCCCGTACTACTTCAGTACTACTATTACTACTACTACTAGAGTAACCTGATTTTACGAGGTGGCCATTTTTCACACCTGTTTATACAGTTCGGTTTCTGCTGCTAAAATTTTGACCTTACCATGTTTCACCCTGACCTTCTGACCTACATTTGTGTGTGAGCTCGAGATCTGCAGGACAGCGACATGAGATCTTTGGAATTTTTAAACGATCCTCTGAGAGGACACTCGAAACAGTAATGTGATACGTGATATTTTAAAACACCTGAAGTTTCCCATTAATGCATACTAATTCAAAAGTTTGAGAAGAAGCAGAGTCCTGTGAGAACAGTATCTCTTACCCAGTGATCCTGGAAGCTGAGTGTGATGACTGCAGGGCCAAAGGAGCGAGCAGGGTTCATGCTGGCCCCTGTGTAAGGAATCTGCAAGACACACAGAGGGATTGCGTTTAATCTAAATGAGAAATAGTTTTGAGTGAGACTGTTATCAGAAATATATATGTTGAAGGCAGATTCTATTATCTTGGGGGATTTATCTGATAAAAAAAGAAATATACAGTAGGCACAGTATACAGTACGCCGCTGCTAACCAGGGCAAGGGGGAAATTATTTGAGCGGCTCAATGATAACATCAATTTCCCAGTGCATTAATTTGTTCTGGAAGGTTCAGGTAGCCCCAGGAGATTGGTTGCCATGCGATGGCAGCCTCCAATAAAGACCTGCACGTGGGTGTGAATCACAAAGAAGTGAACAATATCGGAGGATCGGAGGACGGACGCCTCGGTACACTTGTTCTTTTTAGAAAACACATCAGTGAGAGCAGCATCTTGTGTTTTGTTCAGGAAGCGAAGAGGCATTCACTCCGAACGAGCTTTGTTTCAGTGTTGCCATGTAGCTGTGCCCATCCTGAAACTACTGGTTCAATCATGTCGCAGCTTCTGTTGTTAGGCCAAGAGTACTTGGCAGATATTAGCGTGCAGTTTTAGGGAATACAGCCATTTATCCAATACTGTTTACTGATTATGATTTGTTTTACCTTTTCTAAGGTACTTACTGCAAATAAGTGACCAATCGCTACAGCAAAGCCAATGGACAGGCTAGCAGAGCCGCCCAGGTCTGTGCGTTTAGGATCACAGGTGGCGAAGATGGTGAAAACCAGTTCGAACGTGATAAGGAGCTCCACGAGAAGAGCGTGTCCCACGGAGAGGTCAGAGTTCACCTTCAAAACAGATATATATATATATATATATATTCTCTTTTAGTGTGAAATCTTGAAGCAGCAACACAAAAATGAAGCGGTCGGAATCTTACTGAGGTCACGCCCATGGGCCCTCTCACAGCTGCAGGTGTGACCAGGTAGATAATACAAGCTCCGGTGATGGCTCCCAGGCACTGAGCCACCACGTAGAACACTGCCTTGGCCAGACTCAGCTTCCTTGTCACAACCATAGCCACAGTGACAGCTGGGTTTATGTGTCCGCCACTGATGTGGCCAAAACACTGCACCATGGTGGCGATGCTGAGGCCAAAGCACAGCGAGATGAGAACGAGGTCGGCGGGGGGAGGCTTCTCCTGCCCCGCAGCCCAGTTGATGGTGGAGCCCAGACCCAGAAGGACAAAGATGAGAGTGGCCAGGAATTCTCCAAACACAGCCCTCCAGAAGTCCTTGGTCCAGATCCCTTTAAATGCCACCATTATGCTCTGACAGTTACAGCAGGACAGGCACCTCCTGGCAAAAAGAATAAAGAGCAAAATGATTAGCCTACTTAGGTATTCCGGGTGTGAACGTATGTCGAAAAAGTACTGAACCCTATCAGGACGTCTGCCTGCCTCTGGCCAGAACATTTATAACTCCACTAGGGATTTAAACCAGTGACTCTTCTTTAAAAAATGCCACACAGAGGATTCTTTAAACATTGTTCATAAAGGCAAATGAACACTCTCAAAGGCAAATTACACAATTACTGTCACAGGACAATGAAAATATGCATGATAAGTAAAGTGCATGTCAAGCTGCCGTGTTTGTTGCTTTGAATTCAGATCTTGCTAAAAATTCTAATTAAAACTCATGACCTCCAAAGAATCACAGCGGCAGTGACAACTTTCCCCTTCTTCTTAGATTAAAGGGTCTAAAACTTACCCGTTACAACAATTTGCTCTCCCTCTGTCTGCCCCCGTGGTATCTACTGTGTTTTTATTCATAAGTCCTGGCGGCTGAGTGAACCAGAAGAGACATCCTAGGTTAGGAGCGAGGCAGCTTTGACCTGCAGTACTTACGGAAGCGCAGCAGGTTGTGTGAGTGCAGGAGTGCAGCAGGGAGCAAGTCTGTCAGATGAAAACGATCCACACATTGTGCCTCGGGATTGCATCCAGCAACTTTATTAGGTTACTAAGCAGTCATCACCTCAGAGGAATTAAACAGCAGACTGGGTGGGAGGAGCCGTCAGATTTGCTGGGTGAGCAAACAGGGTTGCAGAAAAGTGCAACGACACAGTCCCTGGGTCAGCCTCAGCATCTTTATATCAAAGAAAAAAAAAATAACATGCTGGGGAAGCTTTGACAGAACTGGTGATGTTTCAAAAAGCAAAACGTTTTATATTTTTGATTTAATAGAACATCATGTTTGGATATAATTGTATTATTTGTATAACTTCCCTCCTTTCTTTAAATATGTTAAATATAGAACCTAAAATAACTACTCTGATAAATACATATCAATTTATCATAAGTTTCCTCCAAACCACCTTCTCATACGTGTGGACCAATTTATTTTGTGTGACCACAGCTTAATGATGCGTACAACCACATCAGTGACTTTGGCCTGAGAGGACATTCCTTTGAGTTTTCATGCGTTAATAGCATTTGTACTGTGTTAATGTTTGTTTTGCAGAATCGTTCACGGTTCTTCAGGCAGAGCCAATACATCTGACTGGCAAACAGGAAGGTCAACGCGAGAGTGAAGGTGATATTTCAGGATCGTAAAAACTGTATGAAACGTATGAAAAATAGAAATGAAATACACATTTTTATATATTAAAAAATGACAAATACAAATGGACTTCCAAAGGAAAATGCTTACCTAGTGTACTGTAAGTATTTCAACACAAACCTGCCATAACATTTTTATTAACATATTTTTAAAATGGACCCTTACTGATTAGTTCACACCCTGTGAAAACTGAGGCTAAAAGAAATGTATATATCATCTATCATTTCCCCTTAAATCACACCATGTACTTTATGCAAGTACTATGGGTACATCTAATTCTTTTTACGTCGGCAGAAATGGCCAACAGGCTCGTTCGTGTTACACAAAATTAAAATATCAACACAGTGTGAGTATGAATATTAATGAACGTCTCATTCTCATCCTCAGTGTGCCTTCTTCCCTGGTTCGCTCTTCCTCCTCCAGGCGTGTCCCCTTCATCAGTGAGTACTCTTCATTACCTGGTACAAGCTCCTCTGGAGTCCTTACATTTGTATGTGTACAATACTAATAACCGAACGGACTCAAACGTAATGGTGTGTTGATAATATACAAGTAATGTTTTAAATAAATTGGTTAGATTAGAAAATGTAAAGTCAAAGGGAATATTTAATGCCCATTTCTTTTGGTGCAGTATAACTTTGTAGAGAAGTACTGGGGAACTTTCCAACTCGTCATTGTGCTTCAAATGACACATAATAACCCGTGAAAGGCAGACATTAATCAACTCGTCAACATACTCCATATACGTCAATACCTTTGGTATTTTCTGTCACGTAAAGATCGCAGACACAAAGCAATCACAAAACGGAGAAGAAACAAATATGAATCCATCATGACGGACGTTTAGGCAGCCGAGTGGTGACTCACATCAAGATTATAAATCAAACAAGTCTTTTTTTTTTATTCCCACATTCAGTCTGGGCTGTTACTGTGGAGATTTGTCAAAGGATCCCAGAATCAGATTTTTCAGTTTACTAACTGACAGACATCAGACATCTGCCCAACAAAGTTTTTCGTCAGACCTCTGCAGCTCAGAGAATCGTGCAGCGACGTTGTATAATCTATAGTTTTGACAGGGAGCCAAAATGTGCAGCCTCTCTTTGAATGACAGCGCTTGTCACCGGCGCCATCCTTATTGAACTAATTGAAGCGAATCAGGACAATCTGCCTGTGAAAGCCTGCTTCACCTTTGACACAGAGAAGAACAAAACACTTTTGATAGCACGGCTTGGATGAAAAAAAAAAAAAAAACAAGAGGGAGCTGCCAGTATGTTTTCCTGGCTGAATCCTTTTCTGATTCCATGTAACTTGTTTTCTTCTTTTAGACTTGACTTTTCAATTTCTTTTCTACTCTGACGTCAGTTGGTGGCAGTTTTCCTGTGAGGACAGTTGTTGTTATTTGTACAGTAATTATACTCTAATTACTTTATACCAGTTTTTTAGACTGTATAAGTCAAAGAATATTGTCCTAGGCCCTGTTACAATCATATTCATCAAAGTACTGTAATACTGAACACCATTCCTGATTGTACCAGGTGGTGAACCCTGTCACACCTTTCTCCTCCTACTGTAGTCCACAGCCACCAGGGCTATTTCTCAGCTAATCTTCATCTTCGCAGCATATGTTTTCCTGTTGAAGGCTCACCACACTCTGGAGACTAGCCTAAGGAGCCACTACATGGCAACTCAACTGGCTCACAGCTGGAAATCTGCCACCAGATCTGATTACTTGGCCATTACGCTCCCCCACTCTTGGGTATTCCTCTGTCTTCGCTATCTCAACTTTGCACCTGTCCAGGACATCTCAGTCTTTCTTCTTCCGTAGCCGTTCCTTTAATACGTTCATTTTTAATCCAGTTTTTTCTGCATCTCGTCCTTCATCACTATCTTTATTTCTTTTCTTTTCTTGCTCTATTTCACACGTATGTCACGTATTATGTCATGCCTTCACTGACCTTTTTTCCTTTTTTATATTCAGGGTAACTACCTCCTCTCTACGTCCTCTTCCACCTGCTCCCTACTGCCACTTCAGGTAGGACCATGAACTCATGCATCACCCCATTTGTTTACCTGCTCATTACCATTCTCACTATGAACCCATCTGTCACTCTGACTGCACCTTTTACCAATGACCAATGTCATAATATATATCAGATGTATCAGATTATGCCTTAATCCTAATGGGAATCAGAGTAGCTTGCATACCACCAGAGGGAGTCCCGGTACCATCAGTGGAATATGTACCAATGTTTGAGAACCGCTGTTATAAAGTATTACTGCCTTTGAATTAGAATAGAGGCAGCCGTAGTGGGTTAAATAATTCTTATATTTTGATGTACGCGTTCTCAGAACTATCATTATCACCAGCAACATTTGTTTATGAATATAAGATGATGACTCTGCACTTATCTGGAGGCTCAGAAAATCAGTGTCGCAGTTGGACGGACTCAACAGCCACTTTTGGAGTTTGTTGTTAAAAAACACTCCCCCACATAATTAAGGTGACCTTTTGAATCAGGCATTGATCTCTTAAGTCTCTGCTCAGACACACTGCACACTGTGTCAGTGCATAATCATTGCAGCATAACCTCTAAGCTCTCATTCTGAACTTTATGTATTTTGGAAAGCTGCAGGAACTGATGAAGTCAACATCTTTAACAATTACACAAAGGGCAAATATTTGTTGTTTTTTTTTTAAATCAATAGGACTTTTTCCTTAGTGTTTCATGGGCCAAACTGTAATTAGTTCCACTTGATGGCCATCTGTACCAAGACAGTGCTATGGCCTGATAAACAGAGAGAGAGAGAGAGAGAGTGTGTAGCGGCCAAGCGACCTTGAGATTATAATGCTGTTGGACAAAAACAACTTGACAAGATCCCAGTGTTTTCTGCAGCAGGGAGAGGGCACATTCCATGCAAGCTTCATTACTTCTATTCAATCTCGCCCAGAGAGTAAACTCCGATTTTCTACTTGAACAAACTGCACCAAAAACAATGCCGGGGTTGGGGTAGAATTGTCGAAAGCTAAAACGAAATACAGTATGGACAGTGCTGTTCAAAGGTCCCTGTGTTGTTTGTGGTTTTATAAGTGCTGTAGTGACCACACAGAACATCAACATTTATCAGTCTGAGTGTGTTAGAGTGAAAACCACAAACATGAGAAACAGAACAGAACGCCCTGTTCTGTGCAAAAACAACGAGGTGTGTCCACAGATCAAAGTGTAAAAAATGTTTTATGGCCCCGTTGTCGTGAAAGGTGAAGATACTGTAGGAGAGAGATCAAGGAACAGAGGGAATGTTTAAAAAATAGTTTTAATAGAGAGGGCAGAGCAGATCCTTTATAGTACAAAGGCCTTTGATCAATAACAGCGTAATGCTTCAGTGTAATGGATTTACTCCTAACTCGCTCCCATTTCGAGGTTCACCACAGAAGGTCATCTGAATTTTGATAGGAGCACAGTTGTCCTCGTATTGCTCTTTATCACAGTGTCACAGTAGAACAGTATAGTTATTAAGACAAAGGCAGTGGTGGTTTTCTTTTGAATATCTGAAACAGTTACCCTTAATGGAATAATGCCAAAGAACTAAACAGGGTGCATGTTTTTTTGTTTGTTATTGTGAATGCTGTCTGTCAGTCAAAGCAGCTCTTGTACTGGACTTATTTTCGATGGGTCAGGAATTATTTCCTGTGATGTCTGTACAGAGACAAAGCTGTGTGGGTTTTATTAACAATGTCCTTCCCTGCCTTCCACTGGGCTCTGGAGTGGGTTGACTTTATTGTCCATGATTGAACAGAGTCTGTTGAGTATCCACCTGCCTGCAGCCAGTAGTAGATATATATTTTACATTTTTTAAATATTGTCTATAGAAACAGGAAAACCTGTTTTATTTTTGTATTAAGGTCGATTCACTTGTAGGAAACAGATACGCCTCATGGCAAAACAAATCTTGAAACTGAAATTAGCCTCTTACCGCCACAAAAAGTGTCCCCATAAATATAGCTCGACCAAACACAAAGACACAAAAACACTCCTTCTGCTTGTCTTCCTTCACTGTGTTGCATATTTTATGTTTCTAAATTTTTAATTTTCCTAAACTCGGGGATGACCTGTCCACATCAACTTTTCCAAACTTTATTCCAGTCCGCTGG